TCTTGTGAGTTTCATGGACAACAAAACTGTTGGCTTTCAGAGCTGGGTATTTTGGGGGCCCTTCCCTCAGGTGGACATCTTACATTTGAGGCACTGGGTGTCCCAGGGAGAAGCCGAGATTTTTAAATTCCACCCTGAGCGTATGTTGCTGTATTGGGATGGGGCTTAGGGTGAGAGTGTGTTTCAATCCTTTCCTGCCCACTTGGTGTATTTTCTCACTTGCCTGATGTGTAGGTGTCACCCAGCTAGTTTCTAGGTTTCTTTCAGAGGCCATTGCTCTGTGTGTAGCTGTAGATTCAGTGTGTCTTTGGGAGGTGAGTTTAGGAGCATCCTATGTCACCACCTTGGACCAGAACTTGAATATTTAGTTTTATAATTTCCATAAAGTTTGGAAAATTTTCAGCCATTAATATTTCAAAATTTTTTTCTGCTCATCCCCTCGATGCCTTCAATTACAGGTTTGTAAGGTTATTCACTAATACTATTTTAATTTTTATCAGTTTTTTAAAAAATATATTTTATTGAGGGTTTTTTTTGTTTGTTTGCTGTTTGTTTTTTAGAGAGAGGGAGAGAGTGGGATAGAGAGTTAGAAACATCAATGAGAGAGAAACATCGATTAGCTGCCTCTTGCACATCCCCGACTGGGGATGTGTCCACAATTAAGGTACATGCCCTTGACCGGTATCGAACCCAGGACCTTTCAGACCACAGGCAGACGCTCTATCCACTGAGCCAAACCAGTTTCGGCAGGTTTTTTTCTTTATTGTCTAAGGTATTACATGTGTTCTTTATCCTCCCATTGTGGCCCTCCCTCCCTATTCCCCTGCTCATGCTCTCACTCCCTTCATGTCTGTGTCCATTGGTTAGGCTTATATGCATGATACAAGTCCTTTGGTTGGACTCTCCCCCTTACACTCCACCCTCCTCTACCTTCCCTCTGAGGTTTGAGCATCTGATTAATGCTTCTCTGTCTCTGGATGTTTTTATTCATCAGTTTATGTTCATTATATTCCATAAATGAATGAGATTTTTTTTTTTTTTATCAGTTTCATTTTGAAGTTTATGTTGCTGTTTCCTCAAGTTCACTAATCTTTCCTTTTGCTATGCCTAATCTTGGGGTGACTTTAGCGGGGGCTTTGTTACTTTAGTGAACCTGGTAGGGACTACTAAGATTCAATTATTTATGTTTATTAATGTTACTGTGACTATCTTTGTAGGGATAGAATAAAAGTAGAAAAATATGGGTTACATATCTTTGGAGAAATGTGTTTGTTTGTTTTTTTAATGTTTTTATTGGTTACAGAGAGGAGGTATAGAAACATCAATGTGAGAGAGAATCATTGATTAGCTGCCTCCTGCACGCCCCCTACTGGGGACCAAGCCTGCAACCCAGGCATGTGCCCTGACAGGGAATGGAACCCTGACCTCCTGGTTCATAAGTCAGCACTCAACCACTGAACCACACCAGATGGGCATCTTAGGAAGGTAAGTAACAAATTCTATTCAAATCAGCCACATCTGTGGAAAGCCATTTTTTTTCATTATATTACTGCTTAAACTTGAAATTCAAATATTGGATACTTTACAAAAGACAATACAATTGTATAAAAGCTGGGAGAAAAATCCATATAATACATTGCCAAGCTATGCAGTATGATGGAATACAATGCAAAAGCAGAGGAAAATCACATGTTTAACACAGTTGGAGGAAATGGGGGGAAAAGACAAAAAAGAAAGTTCTCATAGCAGGGACAACATCTCAGTCATTGTTATACACCCACTAGGGAAAACAGACAGTGTAAACACATTTATTGAGCACCTCCTATATACCAGGTATGGTTCCATGTCCTTTCATCCTTATAACCTCACTCCAAAGCAGTTATTAGAATGTTTTCAGAGGAAACATAGTCAGAAAGGTTAGGCAGCTTGTCCAGTGTGTGGTATACAATGTGTTTCATACACTAGTTGTCGAATCAGTGTCATCTGAATAAATGAATATATATTTATTCAAATGAAATATATCTTGTGAATTTTCTTTGTTGTGCTTCTTTATGATGTTTCCTAGGAAAATGCTAAACTCATAACTACAGGCTATGTATGCAGTAATAACAACAATGACAATAATGGCTGCAACACATAGAGACTTCTTGTTTTATTTATGTATATGAACTAATTTAATTCTGACTTAATACAATCTTTATTCCTCATTTTACAGATGAGGGAACTGAGATGCAGAGAGGTGAAATAGCCTGTTGGTAATTAGTGAAGCTAGGATTTGAACCAGGCTGTATCTGACACCTCTTGCTGCTTTTCTTCATTGTGGTTCACCCAGATGAAGTTTGCCTTAATTTCCTCTTTCAGATCTACGGTATTACAACCACTTGGGCAAGAATTCCTAGACTTTTCTATTGTAGAAAAGGCAAATTGAAATCATGGCGTGAAATACAATTCTCTTCTGCTTTCATATGGCAGGGAGGATGAACATAAGTCAACCTTGCTGTATGTCTCAGATTACTACTTAAGCATATGAGGAAATAAAACAATTTATAGAGCTTCTACAATTCAAATGGTCAAAAGACATAAACAGAAAATTCACAAAAGAAAACAAAGAGGCCAGTGTCTTTATTTAACTATCAACTTTAGCTAGACTCATTTTTGTTTTCATCTTTTGCCTCGAGATTGGGAAACTTTAAAAAGATTGATGTGGCTGAAACTGGAGAGGGGCAATAAGGATGTGAGGGGATGAGGGGCAGTGAAAAGTTAGCGGGACTGTTGGAGTATAGGTTCTGGAAAGGTTGAAGTAATGCTGGAGTCATGGCCTGAGAATGAAATGAACTGGAAGGACAGGAGATAGTGATAAAATTGGATTTTAAAACTGAGAATGTGAAGAATTTGAATTTGATAATGACAAGGTCTAAAGCAACATAGTAGAAATGAAAATGTACTGTGAGTTATGTATATAATTTGAAATTTCCTAGTAGACACATTGAAAAAACAAATTTTCTTTTATTTAACCTAATATTACTGAGTAACCTTTAAACATGTAATCAATAGATTATTTATAAGATATTTTACATTCTTTTTTTACATAGTAAATCTTTAAACTTGATGTGTATTTTACACATTTCAATTTAGAATATTCACACTTCAAATACTGAATAGTGGCTTCTGTCTGTTATTTCAGTCAGGTCTGAAGTATGACCATTGAAATAAGTGGTAGGGAGACCAGGGTGCTGGAAGGATCATCTATGTGAATATTGGAATCATCAAGAATGTACTGCCACTAAAAAGAATGTGTTGGTATATGTAATGAGTTAGAAAGATCTCCAAGACATATGGTTAAGTGAAAATTTTCAGCATAATATGTATGGATAATACAATTTATTAAAAAAAAAATCTAACAAAAGAAAACTGCAAGAGGCATGCTAACTTTACCCCTGCGAATAGAGTAGAAATAGAATGAAGTGGGAGAGCAGGAGGACTTTTCAAGTCTTGTTCTATTTAGCAAAAAAATATATATATATATATTAGAGGCCTGGTGCACTGGAGGCGGGGGTGGGTCCCCTCAGTCTGACCTGCGCTCTCTCTGGCCTGCAGGAGCCTTTGGGGGATGTCCAACTGCCACGAAGGTGGGAGAGGCTCCCGCCACCGTCAGCCATGAGCCCCGGCTTCTGGCTGAGCAGCGCTCCCCCTGTGGGAGTGCACTGACCACCAGAGGGCAGCTCCTGAGTTGAGTGTCTGCCCCCTGGTGGTCAGTGCATGTCATAGTGACTGGTCATTCTACCTTTTGGTCGATTTGCATATTAGCCTTTTATTATATAGGATACATTGGTTAACACAGTTGGAGGAAATGGGGGGGGAGGGAGTTCTCATAGCAGGGACAACAAAAGTAGGTTTACAGTTGCTCATATGGAAAATAATACGATTAATAAATAATAATACAAGGAGTCTCTATGTTCACATACAACTGTAAACCCACTTTTGCCCCACCTTGTATATATATTTCTGGATCATTTGAGTATCTCAAGAAAGTATTCATGTAGTCATATACTAATTTGAGTTAAAATATGAATACCATTGATCTAGTTATCTATTTGACTTGATTCCCCTGAACCTCCTTCGCCCCACCCCCAATTACTTGCCCTTTCCTTAGAGTTTCAAGTTATCATAAATTATTCTGAAAATACAAAGCTATATGGCTATTTTTTTTTTTCATTAGCAAAAGAGTACACATATTTTACTTTGTTATATATGATGCCATAAACACCTTATTAAGACTTCCATTTCTACTTTGGATTGCTTGGGGCCTCAGATGATCAAATCTTTAGTCTCAATATAAATATGGTTAAGACAAGGAGAATGGGCTGTGGGTTTCTATTCTGTATCTTTTCATCAGACAGTATTTATTCCTAAACTAAGATAAATGTGTAGCTCAGGAATGCCCTAGCAGACTTAAAGAAGTATGCTTTGATTTCTTCCTTTAGCTTTTAAACTTGATGAGGGTAGGGACTGAATCTTTGTACCCCTGGTGTCTATATAAACGCATAGCCAGTAGTCACTCAATATATGTTCTTTAAACAGCACAGTGAAAAGAATTTGTTAGCTATAAGAAGCTGGCTGAATTAGAGTTTAGAGTGAAGGAATGGGCTGTATGCTATTTCTGTATTTTGCTTTCTTATGAACTTTTAACTTCTTAAAAATTTAGGTCAAATGTTACTTCTCTATAGTTTCCCTTTTGCCCAAATAGTTAAGATCCACATCCTCAATGTGGCCACAGAATTATGTGTATACCTCTCAAACTCTCTAATGCTGTGTGTTCATGTTTAATTTATCTTCTAATTTTGAGTTCCTTCTGGATAATGACCATATCTTATTATATGTAACACAGTGCCTGAGAGGCAGTTGTTGCTCAATAAATGTTTGATGAGTGACAGGAGATCAGAACTTGAGGCCTAAACCCATTTCCACATACAATGAGGAAGAAAGAAAAAACTTATTTATTGAGTTCCTGAATATTTATTGAGAACCTGCTATACACTAGGCAAAAGAATAGAAACAAATTGTCCAGAGTTACTTTGAACTCTTTCAGCAATACCCGAGTCCTCACCATAAAAAATCCATTCACTATTTGATTAATCTTCATGTTCAGTTTTCTCTAACGTACTCTGAAATATTTCATAATGTTTTATACCAAGAAATACTCCAAAGGCTATCTGAAAGACTAGAGGAATCAACATTCCTTTTATATCTGTTTGAGAAAGCATCATCCAATGATGTAAAACCCTTCCTTTTGGTGGCAGTGGTACAGTATGGTACCTAAAAAGGAAAAAATATGTAAGTACTTCTGGATGAATATTCTATGAAGAATTTGATTTTTCCTACATTGATAATTTTTATTCTAGGTCTTTCATGTAGCTAGCAAAAAAGGTTAAATGTTAGCTATCTGAAATATCAAACTACTATATTTTGATTAAAATGTATCAATGGCAGCTAAAGAATAAGGACACTTTACTAATATATATAAATATTTTAAACAAATAAGGAAGAGAATAGTCAGACTTACTTGACTGCCAGACGTCCATTTTTAGAAAAAGCCAAACCAGTTGGATATAAAACACCACATACTATGCCAACCAGTGAACTTCTCAGAGCACATTCTTCCATGCTTATATTACCTGGAAAACACAAGTAAATTTGATCTCTCTTTAAAACTCAGGATAAACATTAGGAAAGTCGTGTGCCCTCAGAGTAGTTACCTGCACTGTCCTCAACCACAGTGAAACAGTGGGAATAATACTAGAAATACAGTCTACAGCATATGACTGACTAAATGCACCATGTCTTAAAAGTGCTTTTATTGCACTTTACATTAGGAAAGTTATCTCTTACATATATGCAGAAACAACTTTATAATAAAGAATTAAACTAGCTCACCAGACTTCTGGATTCCAGGTTAATCCATTTTTATTGTCTATGTGTCATACATATGCTAAGTGCTAGGGATACAGTGTTGCATAAAAGAGACCCAATATCTAACCTTCAGGCTAGTCAATCAGGAAAGAAAGATATTAAACAAATATTTATAAATACTTTTAAGGGTGCACAATGCTTTGAAGGTAAAATATATAATGTATCTAGATACCTTGAGGGAATCAGAGGAGGTTTCCCTGGGGAAGAGAGATTTAAGCAGGGATCTAATGCACAGGGATTGAGAGGTTCCATCAATTACTAGATGTGAAATTTAACATAATGGGAGGAGGCAGGAAATAACATTAGAAGCCCATAATATACCACATACTATGTTAGGCATTTAACATACACCATCTTAATTCTCACAATCCTGTGAGGTAAGTATTTAGTCCTAATTCATAGATAAGACTCAGTTGAGTCTCAGATAAATGTCACAAAATTCAAATAGTAGTTAGGGTCTGAAATCGTGTGTAATCTGCCAAAGCCTGCTTTTATGTCAGTATATTATGTTGCTTCTTAGACTTGAACATGTCTCTGTTTTTGCTGCTTATTTGTAAAAACGACTCGCCCTGTCTTATTAGGAGGGCTGTTGTGGGATGAAATAGGACAATATATGTGAAGGTTCTTTGTAAGTGGAAAAGCAATATACAAATGTAAGGGATTAGTAGTAGTAGTAGCAACAGTATATGTTAATGAGTAATTTTACTTAGACATGAACACAGTATACTTTAATGAATTTAAATTTACCTGAATATAAAGGATCTGTAACAAGAAACTTATAAGTAATTAAGGTAGACAAAACCGGAAGTGTAGTCAATGATGCATATGTCTTCAAAGCATCATGTTTAACCTTGAAGCAGTGTCTGAAAAGGAAGTTTGCCAGTATTCCAGAGAGACCAGTTGTTGTTCCAATGAGCAGTGCCGTACGTATATTTAAAGTACTGATGGAAAAACAATAAACAAGGTTAACATATTTTCCTAATGGATACCTTTTTCCCGGGTTGTAGTCATTTGTTATCACATATTTACTCAGCATCAAATATTTCTTAGCACTTACTATATGAAACGTACATGCTGAGGATAGGGCAGTGAATACAGAAAAAAATCCTATTCTTCATGGAACTTTCATTCTAATCAGAGGATATAATTCTCTTTCTGAGAATATTTACAGTGGTTCTAAAATGGAGCTCTTTTAAAGAGAGAGAATACATTTTAGCCACAAAGAAATATGACTATATGTTACAATGTAGCCAAATTTTATATCTAAATCCAAGAATACTGCTCTTAAGGTCGTTTTTCTCAAAACGACCTTAAGAGCAGTATATTTGGTTAGGCTTTTATATTTGGTTAGGCTTTCTAAAAAATAATTATTTTTAATTAGTCCAGATACATTTAAAGTAACTTGTTAAGGATTTCCAAAACTTCATCCAAAGGGATCTGCTAGATCTAGTTTTACTTATTCTGACCCATACCCAAATCCAGAAATATATAAGGTATAAGGTCAACATCTTTGATTTTATTTTTGAGCTCTAAAAATCTAAAAAGTCAAAATGGTAATATGAAACTATATGTACATCATGGGATCTATATTCCTGTTTGTTGAACTCAGCACTGTGGTTAAGGTAATCAATTCTAAACTGAATTGAATTACAACTGGTCATCAATTAAATATAAGTAGCCTCCAACCGATACTCTCCTATTTACTAAGGAAAAAAAAGTTTTTAAATCCTCATTTGAGGATATGGGTGTGTGTGTGTGTGTGTGTGTGTGTGTGTGTGTGTGTTTTAATTGATTTTAAAGAGAGAGGAAGGGAGAGAGAAAGAGAAACATAGATCAATTGCCTCCTGTATGCACCCAACCAGAGCTCGAACTTAAAACCTTGGTATGTGCTCTGATCAGAAATCGAACCCACAGTCTTTTGGTGTACAGGACAACTCTCCAACCAACTGAGCCACACTGGTCAGGCTTTCCTAATTACTTTTAATTTTAAAATGTTTATTGCACAAATAACATTTCAATAACAATTTTGGCCATTTTTTAAGAAGCAAAAGTAATTATCCACAATTCCAATATTCTAACAGACCACTATTTTCATCTACCCATGTTTTTCTCCATTTTTTTTTTTAAATAAGCTTTCTTCATAACCAACTCAATAAAGTTAAGAGAATCTTAGATATTCAGAGACAACAGAAATTCAGATCTGCAGAAAAAAGTAATTGATTTTCAGTCTGTGTGTGTTTCTTACTTTTCTTTTCTAAGATATTCAAATTTTTTTTCTATGATTTCAATGACCATTGATCCAAGTTTGTTATCTCCTAGAGAGGGGTTGGGTTGACCACGTGTGTATGTTGCCATCTTGATGTCCTGGAAAACACAAAATTGGAGAACCATAATAGCTAATGATATTAATATTAGACCTTATAAATTCTACAGATTCCAATTAAAAAACATTTAGACTATAGTAATGTGTCACATATTGTCATCTGCTTTTACCTACTTCGTTAATCAACATTTAGTGAGTTCTTATTATCTGCTAGACCAGCGTTTTTCAACCGCTGTTCCGCGGCAGAGATGTTGCCTGGTGTGCCGTAGGTGCAGACAAGACAAGAATTTTATAATTTTTCACTATTTTGTTTACTTAATATTTCATAATAAAGTAATTATAAAATACTTTCTTTGTGTTTATTTGATTCCTATTCAAGAGAATTACTTTATATATAGTCAATATAGGCACAGAGTTAAATTTTTTAACATTTTCTAATGGTGGTGTGCCTCGTGATTTTTTTCATGAAACAAGTGTGCCTTTGCCCAAAAAAGGTTGAAAAACACTGGCTAGACCATGTCTTTTTTGATTTACACAATAATTTTGAAAAGTTGGTAGGACAATAATCATCTCCAATTTTTCAGATGAGAAAAATAAGGTTCAGAAAGGTTGACTTGCTTCAGGACATAGTGTAGAAGGATAATTTACTGAAATATTTTTGTTTTCTTTATAGTTTTCCCCAAGGTAGCCAGGCCCTTTGCAGTTCTCCTTGCTCTAGCTTTATCAGAGCTGGAAGAAAACAGTAGCTATTTCTTGACAACAACCTCTATCCTATGAAAGAGATTGAAAGCCTGCACTCATTTTGGAGATTATGTTAAGTTTCCTCGAGAGATGGGAGAGAGCAGGATTGCTTTGGAGAACAGTGAGAGAGAACTTCAGAAAGAAGGACAGTGTTCCAGGCTAGGAAGACACAGTGGATCATGGCTCCCGATTATGTAAGTTACATGTCCAACTTCTTAGTAGTGCCCAGGGCGAAGCAGGGACTTTACTGGAAACTGCTGTGTGGCATGCCAGTGAGCCAGTACCCATGGCACTGGGCACTAGGGCTGGAAGGTTCCTGTGTCCCAACTGTGATGTATGAAGAGATGGCTGTCAATGTCAAGGGATCACGAGTGTTTGGCCAATAGCATCTTACCAGACACCAGTGGGAAAACAGAATAAAACAAAAAACTAGATTCTGAGAAAGGTTCCTTTCTGAATGTTGTGTTCTGGATAAGATTCTCAGATCTCCATGAAAATTTTTAATAAAAACATTTATTAAATCTTTTGCCACAAAAGCATTATGAGACTCCAGGTTAGCCAGGTTGAATAGATACTAAAAAAATCTATGGCCCTTCACAATTTATACCAACCTCCACATTAGTAACATTAAATTTAGTCAAGGGCACAGACTAAATCTCATATTTCAGAAGTACAGGGCAAGAGAATGAGTGGATTAAGTACAATAACAAAGAAGATACTTAATAAGTCAGTGATTCTCAACATTTAGTGTGCACAAGAATCACATTGGAAAATTATTTAAAATGCAGTCTCTTGAACTTCCTCCTGAGATATCTGGATTCAGTAGGAGTAGAGTGAAGCCTAGAAATCTTTATTTTAGTAGCACCAGTGATTCTTTTTTGTTGTTGTTAATCCTCACCTGAGGATATTTTTCCATTGACTTTTAGAGAGAGTGGAAGGGAGGGGGAGAGACAGAGATAAACACTGATGTGAGAGTGACACATCGATTGGTTGCCTCCCACACACGCCCCAACAAGGGTTGGAGATGGAACCTAAAACTGAGGTACATGCCCTTGACCAGAATTGAACCTGGGAACTTTCAGTCTGTGGGCAAAACCACCAAGGACCTGGTGATTCTTTTTATGCTGGTAGTCAATGGACACTTGTTGAACATCACTGTAATATTCACTTACTGAATAAGTGATATGAAGCAGAACTAAGCCTAACTAGTGAAAGGCCAGGCCAATTCATCTCTGGTATCAGTATCCTAAAGATATGGGCTCCTTTGAACCTTGGTGAATGGTATTACACAATAATAATGGGCCAGTTTCCTTCCCTGCATCATTACAGACTGTACTCGGTTAGTTCTATTTTCTTTTTAAAAATATCTGGGGAGAACAGGGAAACAATTACAAATTACAATTTCTCAGGGACTAGACTTAAATTGCTTGCCTCTCTCTGACATCTATATGGGAAATGGAAGAGAAGAGATAGTAATATCTGATAGAGGCTCTATAATATTCTAGGAAGGCAGAAATCAGTAACATGATAATCAGAAACCTTGGATAAATTTATGTTTTGCTATTATCTAAGTCACTGAAATTCCTTACTCCCCACAAAACTTTCAGGTAATGACTTTTATCAACCTTGTACCTTGTCTGCATCTTCATATATAGGGAACACAGACACCAGGATTATAATCCTAAAATACTCAAACAGTTCAGGAAATATTTGAATTCCTGCCTAGTCTTTGGAAGGGACTGTTATTAAAGCAAAAATTGTTGGGTAACTTTCCGATAGACTTTTAATAAGTATTGAAATGTAACGATTTTGCTATAACCAACATTTTATATCAAAATTAGTCCAAGGCCATTCAATATACTAGAAAGTGAATTTATGAAGGTTTCATAGTTTGCAAAATATTTTATGGTTATGTAGTGCTTTTATCGTACTATGTCACCTGACTCTAGGTTTTATATCATATTCATTCCTCATTTGATAGCCCCTGAGATAATCGAGATGTGGTCAGTCCTCAGGAATCCACAACCCAGAGGGAGGTCAGGACAAACACACACATAATTTAAACATAATGAATCCTATATCATAAAAGGCTAATATGCAAATTGACTCGCACTGACCATGGGGGGGGGGGCCAGAAGCTCAATGCAGGAGCTTCCCCTGCTGGTCAGTGCACTCCCACAAGGAGTGCGCTGCTCAACCAGAAGCCAGGATCATGCTGAGGAATGTCAACTGCTGGGTTATGCCAGCTCCCTGTCAGTCAGGGATCCCTTGAGGGCTCCCAGACTGCAAGAGAGTGCAGACCAGGATGAGCCCTCCCTTTCTCCCCCCCACTCCCTGCACAAATTTCGTGCACCAGGCCTTTAGTGTGTCATAAAGAAAAAAAAAATATATAAGAAAGAATATATTTAACCTAGCTAGGAAAGTGCGGGAAAGGTTTTCTGTAGTAAGTGACATTTAAGCAAATACTGAGCCCTAGGAGGGTAGCTCCGTTGGTTAGTGTGGTCCCATAGCCAAGGTTACCACCGGTCAATCCTGGTCAGGAACATACAAAAATCAACCAATGAATGCATAAGTAAGTGGAACAAATCCATGTTTCTCCATTCTCTCTCTAAAATTGAAGGTGGTTAGACACATGAGCAGAGCAAGGATGATGGGCCAGGTACAGAAGGCACTAAGGGGTAACAAGGGACAATCAACTTTAGGGTGGGACCCTGGCCCAGGGTGACTTTTCTTCCCCTACCATGTCGGTCATGTGGCTCAGATCCCCTGACCTTTCCTCCCTATAGATAACACTGATTCTTGTATTTCAGTTCCAGGCCCAGATCAACTACAAAACCAGCCCAGGCTGAAGCTGGAACCAGCTACATTGAATAATGACCCCCTATCCTGGTGCCCGCCAATCAGTCAGTGGAGTCCACAACCCTGAGAGGACACACCTGGGAAGCTGCTGAATATTCTACTGAGATCATCTTCTGGGACCGCCCTAAAATCTCCACCCTTAAAACCTTTGGGACAGGACCCAGCTGGCTCTCCCTCCAGGGAGCAGCAGTACCTTTTCCCTCCTCCCCAACCCAGGCTGTTACCTTTGGCCCCCTCACACCCAAGCTCCAGGGGCCCTTCCTTTACTTCCATAACTTGTTTCCTAAGCCCATTTTTCCAGGAATGACTTCTCCTACCTCTGTGATTCACCAAATACACGTTCCTACAGTTATTTGGATCTTGCTCTGAATTCTTTCCTAGCCAGAACCGAAGTACCGAGGGTGTGGAGCTCTGATTTTGGTTTGATCTGGCCCCATGGGTCTAACACCCAGTGCGGCTGCCTTACAACAAAATCAATCAAAACAATAGAGCTGAAAGGAGCATTTGGCAGAGGCGGGCATGGGGGGGGGGGGGAGGTGCTAGGAGGTATTTCAAGTGGAAGGTGAGGCCAGTGCAAAGGCTCGGGGGCACGAGAAGACAAGCGGCAAGCCATCAAGACTGGACTTGAGGTCTCCTATAATACTTTCTCTTGCCTCATTCTATGGCCACTGGGACGTCATTGGAAGACTCTTGCACTTGGGAGCTGTTCTCTTTAGATTTTCAAACCCTTTGACTTGCATCATCTCAGAAGAGCCCGCCAACCCCATGAGGTTGCAGAAACCACGGTCCCAGCCTCTCCCCCGGGTTCCCGCCTACCTTGGGCATTTCCCCAGCTCCCACCGGCAGCACACCTTTCTCACTCGAGTCAGCCCCCGCTGAGCGCCCGAGCGCCGCCATCTTGGCGCTCACGTGACTGGCCGGTGGGCGGGGCCCCGGCGCCGGGGTGGGCGGGGTCGCTGGCTCACGCCTCTCTCTCGCGTGCGGTCCCGGCCCGTCCGGACCCAGTCAAAAGCCGCGCCCTCCATCCTGGCTGTGATTGGGCGCGGTGTCCGGAAGCGACGGCTGCTCATTGGCTCCCAGGAGACCCGGACGCCCGTTAGGCCCGCCCCTCCTGCCAGCGCCTTGTTCCCGAGCGCGGCTATTGGTCAGCCCGGCTCCCTCTCCCACCTGGAGGGGAACGTGGGGCGCTGCGAACACGGGGGGATGGAAGCTGCGCGTTTCCCTCTCTTGTGGGCACCTCCGCCGGGGCGAGCTGCCCGCCCCGGGCCTTCCTTCCTGGAAGGAGCTCGCCCCTCCGGCCTGGACCGTGTATTAAGGCTCTCGCTCCTCGGGCACTTCCTCCCCTTCGAGCCCCCAACCGGCCGCCGGGGTCTTTCCGACTGGCCTCCTCCTCCCCTTGCAGCGGTCTGACTCCTCTCCCCAGTCTCTGGTGCCCTCTTAGCTCATATTCCATCCTTTCACTCCGCTTAGAAAGGGACCCGAGGGGGACAGTTGCACCCCACTTCCCGAGAAGGCCCCCCCCCCCCTTGCCAGCCAGTGTTTTTGGGGGCGGGGGGCCGCAGCGAGGAGGCCTGGCGCCCTTTGGCTGCACGTTCCGTGCTCGGCAGTGTCTCCCAGGCCGGCACCCCCCGACCCTCCAGCCTCCATGTCTTAGAGGAGCCAAATGCGAGAGTTATATAATTCCTAGTGCTGCTGTTCCTCCTGCCCGAGGAGACACTCCCTCGCGTGGAGGGTGCAGGACGTGTCTGTGCTCTTCTCTGTCAGAGCGGGGTGTGGGCAGGGGTGGCCAGCGGGGGCCGAGATCGCCTGCCCTTTTTTTTTTTTTTTTTAATCTGCAAAAAGGAAGGTGGGTCTTTTTGGAGAGAGACTGAGAGAAAGGGTGGAGGTGGGAGCCCAGCGGCCGAAACTCTCATTTAGGAAATCGCCCCCCCCCCCCTTTTTTTTTTTTTTGCACAGCTGGTTGCTCACATGCCTAATGCTACTACAGCTACAGCATCTCCGGGGGAAAAAAAGACACCTTTGCGGGGAGGTTTGACTGCCCTGGAGCAGTTTTTCTTGGTGTTTTTTCCTCGCTGGGCAGGCAGCTGCTTGGGATGCGAAGACATGGCACGATGTGAATGACTCCAGTGTGGAGGGATCTGCTTCGCCAACTCATCCTGCATCAAGTGCCCATTGAGTAGCGCTGTCACTTTAATGTCTCCATGCCAAGGGGATTGCTTTCCTCCTTTTTCAATCCTCTCGGTTAATACATGGGAGGATCAGAATCAGAGGGGGCATTAAGGATCAAGCCTTGAGGGGCTCGGAGAGAAAAGAAGAAAAAAAAAATGCAAGTGACAGCAAGCTGGATCCTGCCTTACTGAGGGGTGAGACCTGGAACTTCTGGTCCAGGAAGCAAAAAGGGGGCCTTTCAGTGTGTGTTCTGCTCCGGGAAACTGTTCAAACCCACCCACCCTTTTTTAGAGATCAGAGTCAAAGAGGTTTTCAAAAGTATTTCTTTGGGGGGGTGAGTGGGAGGGTGGAGAGCATTTAAATTTTTCTCTAAAGAACGGAGAATCTTGATCATCCACCAGATCATCTTTGCATTCGATCATGTGTTGAGGAATGAAACAGCTTTGTGATTCTGGTTTGTGCCTTAATTGAGTTAGTCACTGAACTCCAAAAATGTTGCTGCCTGAAGAGGAGTTTTAATAACGTGTTTTTAATGCTTACAATAATTTTCTCGGCTTAAAAAGAAACAACAATGCTATTTTATAAAAACCAAAGTTCTATTTCTCTAAACTCTGTGGGCAGTTTCAAAAGTTTAGTTGTGGAAAAAATACGTTATTTTTTCTTTGTCTGAAAGAGAAGACAGCCTGGACTTCAAAACCAAATAGGTGAAGTGGTTTGCAACAGTTACCTGACTCTTGGCCTCAATCCAGTTGGATAAAGTTGAGACCTGAAAAGGGATCTTGAACCCTGTGGCAGTGGAAAGACCAAGAATGCCAGTCAAGAAGAAAGGTGGGCTATGAAGCTTCCTATGTGATATATATTGCTTGGGTCTGGTAGTTGGCATTTAAATTGTATTCCTTTTGAAAGTAAAATTTGGCTTGGGCAAATATTGATTACAATAACATATTTTCTGTGGCACATCATTCAGTAATGTTATTTTGCTAAAGTGAAATGAAGTAGGACGATCGTATTTAATTGCAGACATGGAGTATTTCATAAATCAGGTGGTCTAAATCACCATAATCGGCATAGATTTGGGATCTACTGTAGCATTTTAAAGGTCAGTTTTAAACAATCTTTTAAAAAAGAAATGTGTACAGTCAAGTTCTTTCTCATAGATTCAATATTTATCAAGTGAATTATATATTGTAAAAAAAAACCAGCACAGTTGTTTGCACTGAACAAAATGATGGATTTATTATTTATCTCTTGATTAAAAATACATTTCATATTTGGGTTTACGTTAGTGTGAATCTTCACTTTGGTGCTAAAGTACAAGTTTGGTAACTGTCGTGCTTTTTGAGATGTATGCCTTATCCAATAACATGATTGACAAGTTCCCCAAATGAATCAAACACTGGAATCCCCACCTCTTATCCCTCCCTTAAATTAATCAAAATCAGTGGGTTCCTAAAGTATAGTTTTTTATAGCTTAGTCCTTGGGAGATTCATTTCAGCATAGCTTTGCTGCACATTATCTTTGTTGCTAAGGATCTTAGTGAAATAAAATTTTTATTTTATTTGACCTGGTATGGAAGGTCAGATCAACTACAAAATTTTCTCAAGGGTTTTGAACCAAAATTTATATGAACACCCTTGAACTCTATTATACTGGGCTATCTTAGATCTAAATGCTGACCAGTTGTGTGAGTTGCTACGATTGGAAACTGAAGTTTGGGGATGAAGGTTAAAGTGAACCCGCCTATGCAAGATGATTAATCCTGCTACCTGTCGATTTGGAAGGTGCACCGAGGAAACAGTGTGATGCTTTACCCAACCAGCATCTGTGGAGATGGACAATGATATACAAAACCTTTGAAACACCTCATTTAGGAAATCACCCTATTAAACATCCCTTTGTACACTAGGATTTAAGGCTGGGATTATTCCCTTCTCCCACTCTTCCCCAGAACGTCACTCAGAGAAGTCAACTGTCTCTGAGATTTTGGAGCCACACCTGTCCGTACATGACACAATTGGCTTATCTGGGACAAAATGGCTTTAGTAATGTAGCCAATAAAGGACAGAGCTGCTTCACTTATTTAACTTGTAGTGTGTTTTAACTATGTCCTTTCTACCACTTATTGTTCTCCAGAGAGAAAAGATGACTGGGAAGAAGGAAAGATAACTGTGTGCTAGCAGGGTGGTTTTCAGGTTTCTAAACCCAGTGGGCTGAACCTCTTAAGAGTTCCCAACTTTAAAAGAAGTTACAAGAATTGCTTATATGTGATTGAAAGTCATACTTACTGAGAAATATTTTAAATTTTATTTTCTTTTTCCTCTCTTTCTTCCTTTCTCCTCCTTTCCCTTTTTCCTTCTCCCCGCCCCCTCCCACTTCCTTCATTAACAATGAATTGATTGTAATGGATCAGATTTTAAGGAATCAAGTTCCAATTAGCAAAAACTGTATATATTTGGGTTATACTAAAATATATGCATTATTTAATTTACTTTGTGAATTGATCTAGTTAGAAAAATGTATCTTGTTTTTAATCTCTTAAAACTATTAATATTAAGTTATATTTTTTAATCTTATAGACAACTAGCCAAACAAATTATGACATGTGCATTATTATTTTTAATTGGCTAAGCTTACTTTTGTATAATTTCTAAAATATGAGTAAAACAAATATTTTTAAAATATATTTTATTGATTTTGTACAGAGAGGAAGGGGGAGAGGTAGAGAGAAACATTGATGAGAGAGAGTCATCGATCAGCTGCCTCTTGCACACCCCCTACTGGGGATATGCCCGCAACCAAGGTACATGCCCTTGACTGGAATCGAACCCGGGTCCCTTCAGTCCCCAAGCCGACGCCCTATCCATTGAGCCAAACCGGTCTCGGCTAAAACAAATATTTTAAAGTATGACCTGATTTTTGTTCTGTAGGGAAGTACTGTCCTCTTGGGTCTTTTTTTTTTTTTTTCATTGTTACATCTGGTGGATATGACAGGAGAGTTAGATTAATGTAATTTTAACAATAACTATCTTCATTGAGCCAAGTGTTTACTCAGGATTTAATATATTCTTATTAAAATAAGAAATTTTCATTTGGTGTCTATTTTATGTTATTGTAAAAGTAGAGAGGAGATTCTGTGATTGGGAAGTGGGAACAGATGTGTGACATCTGAGTCCATTTTTAGGTACTATTCTTCACTGTTCTTAGATAAGCTAAAATTGGTATACCTCCAATTCCTGTATTCACTGCTTTTTTGCTTTATAACATTACTTCCTACCTCAACCACCCCACTCTCTTCATATTTTTATAGATCTAAGTTTTATCAACTTTTCATTTCTTTATTAGATATTTTTTTTCTCTGAGAGTTGCTTTTCATTCAGGATTCTCTTTTCTACAGTAATAACTTGATTTGTTCCCAACTGAACCTGTAGCACATTTTGACCAATTTTAACTTGTGAAAATTCAGGGCTAATCCAAGATAAGTTATATTAGCATTATCTGATATGATGCAAGATCACGGTAAAGTGCTATTTCAATGAAACTTCTATTTATTTTCAAGATTGATCAATGTAAGAAATAAAGGTTAATGGTATGATAGTTGTGTCCTTACCTGTATTTTCAGTGGAAAGTTGCTATTTTAATGATAAAATATGCTTCACTAGAATTTTTTTTAGTACATTGCAATTTCTTTTTTGAACAATTTTTATTCTCTTTTTATTAACTATGTAAGAGAAAACTATGCTTTTAATACTTTGAGGTTGGTGCTCATTTCCTTTCTGTTTTAAATATATTGTCCTATTATCTTCTGAACTTCTTTTAAATTGGTAAAGAAGTACCTGACATTTTTCATTTTTCCGACGCTTTATTTTCTTTGAAGTCTTTCTTTTTGCAACTGTTCTCGGTTATATAATGGAGTACGTGTAAACTTATTTTCACCAAGTACTGAAAGTTAAATACTATAATTTTCACAATTCATTGGCATTGTTCTTTTTAAAGAAAGTTGAAATATGAGTAAAACAAATATTTAACAAATATGTGTAATTAGAATTCAAAGAGATGACGTTGTCATACATCTCATGGGCATCTTTGAAATTGAGATTGCTTCTGGATTCACAGTCTTTCCTTCCACTTCTATTTTTCTTTTTTTCTTCCTCTGCTTGGAAAAGGAACCCCTTTGAACTCTTCTATTTATTCTTTCCTTGTTTAAAGTTTTATTTATTTTTTTATTATTCATTATCTGTTTCCTTCTCTGTGTGGCTTAATTTCTATTTTGTAGTATCTTACTAATTTATATTTGTCTTTCATTATCTGAGTATAGTCTCTTTTTATCTCTAGTTTTTCTAAACTTCTTAAAATAACTTCCCCCCCGCCCCAGATTCTCTAAAGGGCAAAATATGTACCTGAATTTATTGACTAAACCTTTTGCAAATTTGTGTTTAAACTTTCATGTTTGTTGTATCAGTTTTATATACAGATGCTTTTTCCACCTCACAAAACTTCATAGTTTTTTTCCCCTCAGCCAATAAAAAATAATTACATACTGAATCTTTCCAGAGAGTGGTGAAAAAATATATATTTCAGAGAGGAAGGGAGAGGGAAAGAGAGATCGAAACATCAATGATGAAAGAGAGTAATTGATTGGCTGCCTCCTGCATGTCCCCTACTGGGGACCAAGCCTGCAACCCAAGCATGTGCCCCTGACTGGAACCGAACCTGGGACCCTTCAATGTGCAGGCTGACGCTCTACCCACTGAGCTAAACCAGTTAGGGCTAGATAATTTTTAATAAAGAATTTTTAGATTTAAAAATCTCTCAAAAGGCTCATCTTGACCTTGGTTGAAAAGGTTACTGCAAATCATAAAGCTGCAAGACTCTTGATGTTGGAAAATATTCATTAATTCAGAAGGCACACAGAGAGAGCATCTGGAGAGAGAAACAGAAGAATACTTCTGTATTCAGTTACTGATTAGGAGTACTAGTATGTTATGATGCAAACAATAGGCGTGGCACTAAGATGATGTTAATTAGATTTCTTTTATAGTTATTATGTTTTGGTAAAGTGTGCAAATGATATTTTGATGCCAAAAATGGTTTCTCCTTTGGATAGGAGAGTCTAGTCAGTGAGAAGATGTGCACAAAATATTAGATTTTTAAAACATTGACTTAAGGCATTCTATGCTTTTGCCAAACATTCAATTAATCAATTCGTCCTATAACAACATATTCACTAAACTATAAGAATGCTCGCTCTTCTCTCTTAATTACATACTCTCCTTATATACTCTTAACATTTAATCTTGTCAGCAATTTTAAAATATTTTTAATATAAGGCTGAGACGTATAAAATCTTTTTCTTCCTGGGGGAGGAGGACCTGTTCCCCAGTTATACTTCCTGCTCAGGAATTTGTAGCAGTCAAGGCATGAGGGCTCTGTGTCCTTAATGTAGGTTGCTTTGTCAGCAAAGGGTCATGAGTTTTACCCAGTTTCTTCTGTCCAGTCAGTCATTCTGAATTCCAACTAGTAAGCTTTCTGCACAAGTTCATTTTTTTAGTGAGTTTCTCAAAGCTATTTCAAAAATTATGGCCAAATCACCTCCATTATGAAACAATTCTCTTGACCCCATTTTTAAAAAAATTTAAGACCAAGAGAAATGATATTATAAAGTAGAAAGTCCTGTGAAAATGAATTACTGTGCTAAAACTTTTAAAGATTATGGGTAAGTTTATGTAGCTCATGTCTTCTGATGATACCATCTTGCTAGCCACTGAGGCCCTAAATCTATAGGCGGTCTATCATTTTGGAGCACTGTGACATCTTTGTTATTGAAAGT